AAGCATTAAGCACAGCAGTACACATAAGAGAAATCTACTTCCTGCTCTTTTAAGCACAGCAGATGCCAGTGTTTAGTATTAAAAAAAAAAAAAGTATCAGTAACGGTGGGACATGGTGGCTCAGCAGTTAAGACACTGACTCTGACAATTGCAAGATCAGCAATTCGAGGCCCAAGTGCTGCATAATGGGGTGAGCTCCATTCATTGGTCACAGCTTCTGCCCATCTAGGCTGCTAGCATGTAAAAGAGCAAGTAGGTACTACTTTGTGGGAAGGCAACAGCGTTCTGTGCAATCATGTTGGCCACATGACCATGGAGTCGTCTTTGACAACACTGGCTCTTTGGCTTAGTAACAGAGATGAACACCACTCCCTACAATCGGACATGACTTGACATGCTTGTCAAAGGGAAAACATTTACCTTTTAACCTTTTATCAGTGGCAATTGGAGTTATCCTTCCAGTTGTACTCTGCAAGCAAACTCTTTAGTGAATTGCACAAGGAAGGGCTGGGGAACATGTAGCCCTCCAGATGTTGCCCCAGCATCAGCTTAGCCAGCATAGCTAGTATGCTGAGAGCTGAATGAGAACTACATCAAAGGCTGTTACTTAACTTCCTGAACCCAGAGATAAGATCTGAAGAAAAAGATATGAAGCAAAGTCTTCCAGAATGTCAGTCACAGTGCTATTGTATTGTACAATTGTATTGTATTGTATTGTATTGTATTGTATTGTATTGTATTGTATTGTACAAGCCACTGCAGTGGCGCAGTGGTTAATAGAACCATACTGGGAAATCAATTGTGCATATCAAACCAATCACACTATTTGAATCAGAATGTCCACTTCATCATATTCTATAAATGCATGCCATGTTTCCCATTCACACTAGTAGGCATTGCTACTAAATCCTATGGAGTTAGCCACAGCTGGCACCACTGCACATCCATGTGAGGTTTTGCAGAATTGCCCATTAAGTATTATATGATAATCGGTATGCATGCTGTGCACTTAACTTACATAGCAATCATGACTTATTACCCTGCATGGAATTCTGTTTACAGCATGCCTTTGGGGGTGGCACTTTATATAAATGATCCATAAAGTGACTTATGAAAACAAGCCACAGAAAAAGAAATAAAAAGCGGCAGCAAACAGATGTCTCTATCTTGTTGGAAATGTAACAAATTCTGGGAGATGGTAACAAATTAAAAAATTATGTTACTGTGAAACATTTCTTTAGCACTATGTGCTAGGGGCCATACAGGTTTTTCTTAATTATTATGAAGGTACTTCTTTAGCCTCACTATCACACCAGTTGCAATCTGCATCCATTATCATCAATGGCAAAATTCCTGCTGACTTTAATGGACCAGAATGCACAAACTGAAAAACGTATTGCTTTAAAAAGCCTGCTAATCTATGACAGGATATGCTTTGATTTAGGCAGCTTCCAGATGAGTGTTTTTAAAATCACTCATTCACACTTCTTCATTCAATAAATTATGGGAGAGGGTGATTCAGGTGTTGCTGTCTTCCTTTTGTAACCCTCCCATGTTTTCCAGTTAGTTTCTTTTGGTGAAAAAAGTGGAATACCTGCGCCGCTTTTTTGTATGGTTGCACTAGACATCCTGTCTAGAAGCACCTTTTAATTCATAGTGAAAACATTGATAATGTGTTGTATTGCTTTAGAATTCAGCTGGCCATTGTTGTTTTTCTCACATTCAGCCCCAGATGTCTTCAGTATCTTGCCTTGTTTTACCTTCGTCCATGCTTATGTTACAAACTTCTTTCTCTCAGTGTTAAATGTGCTACATATCCCTTTGCATTGCCTTGTTTTGGTTGACTTCATCAACTCCTTCCAGAGTTAATACCAGAAATTCATTCTTGATAAGTGTATTTTATTTTGTTCTCATCATCCTCATAAGTCATCTCTCCCCTTTTAATAAAACATGTTTTATAAGAAATGTACAGTGACACAGTTTCATGAGCTACTCATAAAATTAAGGTTTTGTTGTTTTGAATTTTCCACAGAATTTATTTCCAAAGCATTTATGGTCTCTTTCAGCTCTATGATTCTATCATTCTATTTCCGCTTAGAGATACTTAATTTACATGACTTCATGTTGAGACATAGTGTTTCAGTAGAGTATCTTGGAAGGAGGTGTTACGATGGTTGGTTTGATATCAAGACCCCCTTTGGGTCCCTGTCAAAGCCCTGGGCTTAAAGGAACCTTTATCGCCATGAGCTCAAAGTGTGCACCTTATGTAGGCACTCCAAAGAGAGTTACACCTGCATTTGCAAATCAAAAAGGCCATGCTTAGGAGTTGCAAAGCAGGACATTCACACCTAGAAGATTTATGAATGCCAGCCAGGATGTGTCTGGCTGAAGATGAGATAACATCAGCATCCATCTCCCCTCTTTTGGAAACTGTGTACTTCAAAGAGTAGCAATTGAAATCCTTTGACATACAATAGCAACTCTTCACCTCAGGCTAGGATTTAAGGGTATAAATGCTCCCCAAAATCTCAGGCACATGGGGGTAGATTTCATGATGACACTGTGATCTCTGAATAGAGTCCCCAGGTCTATCTGTTGTCCTTTCCCTTTTCATAACGGTTGAGCATATCCTTCTTCATTCATCGTTGGAGCAGGTTCCTTTCAGGTAATTATCACCATTAGAAAGCATTGTGTTTCCTATCCAAACTAACTACTTTACTCCTGAGTTCTTGTGTGTATGTGTGTGTGTTTGGGTGTCTTTGTATGTTTGAATCCCCAAATAAATTATAGTTCATTGGAAAGCTTTGTCTCTATCAGTCTATTCCCTAGTCAGCTCCATAAACATAGGATAAAAGATCCCATTGGAGACATGGACTTTAATAATTCCTCAAATTCAAGGTCTTCAATACAGAGGGATCCCTCCACCATCAGAATTTCAAAAAGGCACAATTACATCCCCAGTGCATTCAAGAGACAACCACATCTATTATCCAGAGCCACTAGAAGTGCTGGCTTGGGAGATAACCACAATAAAACAAGGCCAGGCATAGACAATGTGTGCAACTGCCTGTGGAACAGCAATACACAAGTTATTATGCTGTTTGGGTCAGGAAGGAAACAGCCCAGCACCACTCTTTGTTCTTACTAATTGCTGTCAAGTCAGTTATGGCTTATGTTTCAACCTTTAAGACACCCTGTTCTCAACAGCCCTGTTACAATCCTGCTAAACTTAGGGGGGATGCAGACGAGGGCGTCCAAGACGCCCTGGTCCGCAGCGCCGCGGGGCTAAGGCAGCCTCACCGCGGCGCTCCCCCGCCGAATCTAAAAGGAGCACCAAATTGGCACTCCTTTTAGATTTAAGGGAAAGTGCGCCGTAAAAGCGGCGGGCGCACTTTCCCTGACTCAAACGGCGCAGTGCATGTGGGCGCTGCGCCGTGAGGTCACCCCCGGAGCGCCGGCCGTCCGGTGACCCAGAAGCTCTGGGGGCGACCTCAGGAAGAGGAAGGGGCGCCGCTCGTGCGGCTGCCCCTCCTCTTCCCTGCCCGGAAGATGACTCTATTAGTCATCTGCCGAGGCTGTTAGTGTCTTGGCTTCCTTGAGTGATTCTATCCACCTGCAATGACATCTCCCGCTTTTCCTCCAGCCTTCCACTTTACCAAGGATTATAGTCTTTTCTAATGAGTCACGCCTTCTCATGATTTTCCAAAGTATGACAGCTTCCATTTAGTTATTTTGGGCAGTCCAGTATAACTCTCCTCCAGTACCATGTTTCAAATGAGTTGGGGTTGCACCATTCCCACTCAAAATGCTGGGAATCTGTAGGGTTGGGGTGCCACTGATCTACTCCAGAGATGGACAACTGTGGTCCTGGTTCTAGTCCTTATTATTATTATTATTATTATTATTATTATTACTATTATTATAGTGCACCCACTTCTTATATGGGCTTGCCATATGTGGACGTAATCTTCTGCGCATGGCAAGCCCGGGGTTTTAAATGGTGCATGCACTGCACCACACACAAGAGCATTTGGCCATAGAACTCAATGAGACTTGAGGTCCCGCAATATTTGCCATATGGTAGGGGGGCCCAGAACGGATCCCCCATGTATAGAAAGGGCCCACTATATTATTATTATTATTATTATTATTATTATTATTATTATTATTATTTTGCACTGCAACTCCCATAATCTTCCTCCACGGGCTACTCTAGCTAGGACTGATGAGAGCTATAGGCCAAAAACATCTGGAGGGCCACAGTTGCCCATCCCATCTACTGGAACACATGAAGCTGCCACAAGTCAGGTCAAATACAGGTCTCCAAATAATAAGACCAGGGGTAGGCAACCTAAGGCCCGGGGGCTGGATGCGGCCCCCTGGGGCCTTTGGACCTGCCCCAGGCCAGTCCTGCCGCTGCCGCTGCCCCCCACTGCCCGCCATGATAATATTGATTATTGTTGTTATTACTTGTTCTTGGGGTTTTCTTGGCAAAATCTCCACAGGGGTTTTGCCATGGCTTTTCTGGGGCTGAGAGAGAGTGCATGCATATATATTTTTATTTTTTTATTTATTTTTAAAAAACCACTTTTATTTATTTATTTATTTATTTATTTATTTATTTTTGGTGCTTCGGCCCCCCAGTTGTCTGAGGGACAGCAACCCAGCCCCCGGCTCAAAAAGGTTGCCTACCCCTGAATAAGACCATCAGGAGATTGTTGTCTGCTGCTCTGACTAGGACCAACTCTCCAGGGTCTGGAGCAATGGTTCCCAAACTTTTGTCTTTCAGGTGCTTTGGATTCCGATTCCAGCTCCCAGAATTCCTAACTGTTGTCAACCCAGCTGGGGCTTTTGGGAGCTGAAGTCAACAACACCTGGAGAATCAAAGTTTGGGAACCACTGGTCTGGAGGTAGGAGCCTTTCCCAGCCAAATAGGAGTTTTCAGGCTGGTTGGGGTCCTTGGGCTTGCTGTCCACTTGAGATGAAATGGAGTCACCTAAGACAGTGTGGAGCAGTGGTTTGAGTTTTAAACTATGGCTCTGGAGACCAGGGTTCAACTTCCAGCTCAGGCATGAAACCCACTGGGTGACCTTGGGAAAGTCACACATTCTCAGCAAACCCCCTCTGAATAAATCTTGCCAAGAAAACCCCATGATTGGTTTGCTTTTGGGTTGCCGTAAGTTGGAAATGACTTGAAGACACACAACAACAAAAAGATTGCTGAGAGAAGGGAAGTACATGTGTCCGATGGTGTCTCCTGCCTCCTTAACTCTTTTGCTCCAACACCTCTGGGTCAGGAAAGCATGAGGAATTTCAGGGAGCAGGAACAGAAACAGAGGGAAAGGTCACTCTTGCGCTAAGTGTTTACTCTATGCGGTTTGAGTTCTGCCTGGCATTAGACCTCCTGAGTTTCCCCAGGATGAACTCTGCACCCACTCAGAAGCCTTCTCCTCCATGACCGGCCTGAAAGTTAGTCGGAGCCTAAGCCTTACAAACATAGTACACAGCAGGGCAGAGTGACCAGATGTCTTCATTACAGATGAGGAGAAGGCACCACAAAAATGGAAGACAGTCAAGAAAATATAAAGCAAATAAATATAAATTCATGCTTCTTAGTCCTGCTCAGAATGGAGGTGTCAGTACGAATTAGCTCTGTTCCAAGGACTCAAACAATAGCCTTGGTAAATGAACAAAAAGACTTTATTGCAGACCTAGGACAATAGTGATCAGCAAGCGTTTAAGCTGGTACTAACCTTCCCTGTCCTCTTGTCATTATATATAGACTGGAGCCATCTAGCCAAACCTGTTTGCAATGTAACATTTTGACTTCTGCCTGATAACTGCAATGTAACTGTTTGATTTCTACCTGGTAACTGTACTACAGCCTTTTGCTTTCTGCCTGGTAACTGTAATGTCACCTTTTGATTTCTGCCTGGCAACTGCAGTAAAACTCCTCCCAACTGCTCTTTGAAAACGGTGCCAAAATTCAAACTCACCTAACATATAACTCTTTCTTTCTCTCTCTCTCTCTCTCTCTCTCTCTCTCTCTCTCTCTCTATATATATATATATATATATATATATGCAACCAATACAGGCTTTATGTATACATTTCACAACTTCATCCATAATGACAGAACCAAAACCCTTTTGGGTTCTGACATGAGGACCTTTTGGAATCCCTCCTGGGCAGAAGACTAGAATGGAGGACAAGTCTAGGAAAAGGAGGACACCTGGTCTAAAAACACTCCTAGAAATGTAAATCCATGCTTATTAGTGGTGCTCAAAATGGAGGACATCCTGGAATCCCTTCTGGAGAGAAGGTGGAAATGGAGGACAGATCCTGGAAAAGGACACACTGTCATCCTGACCTAAATATACTGCTTCTATTGTTGTTAACTGCCCTCAAGTCAATTGTGACTCATGGCGACCATATGGATGAGACATTTCCAAGACGTCCTCCACTGCTCTGCTTAAATCCTACAACTCCTTAATACCTGTGATCTCCTTAATAGAGTCCATCCATCTGACATGTGGCCTTCCTGTCTTCCTATTTCCCTCCACCTTTCCCAGCATTATTGTCTTTTCCAAAGAGTCTTCACTTCTCATGATGTGTCCAAAGTATGACAGTCTCAGTTTGCTCATCTTGGCTTCCAGGGAGGTTTCCAGACCTGCTTGTTTGTCCTTTTGGCTGTCCATGGGATCCTCAACACTCTTATCCAGCAACACATTATCTTAAATGAATTGATTTTCTTCCTATCATCTTTCTTAACT